CCAAGCTTCTGCATGACTATTTTGTACCCTAAACCCCAGTTGTTGGTATTTACGCCCTTTCGCAGTTGCTCCAATTTTTTCGCTTTGCTTTTCTGAATTACCCTTTTCAAGTCCGTTTTAGCTGTCTTGTACTCTTCCATTGTGACTGTTGTAACCAGGGCTTCGGAGCGGTGCGGAGCAAAGGAGCAAGGAGTTAAGGAGCAAGCTGGAAAAAAGAGCTAAACAAAATTATTTTCTCCTTAGCTCCTTAATGAAAATTAAATTTGCTTATTTTTTTTGCCACTGAAAACTACAGTTTTAAATAAATTTTCGTTATATTTTTACTTGATAATTGCCTCGCCAATTTAAACGGCGATAAAAAAATAGGGCTCTTGGATTTGCATATTCGGTGCATTTGTAAATTCACAACAATAAAATGCAAGCCATCACAGCAAGCAAAAAAAATTGCAAATGCAATTGCATCTGCAAATACAAGACTATTTCCACACCATCCAGAACAGCCCTAATGACTTCCCACCTAGCAAAAAAATGTAAATTTTGCCGACAGTGCGATTTCGTACAATTCTCCATATCTGGAAACGAACGGAAAGCGACTACAATTTTTGTTCATTTACGTATCCAAAAAAGTAAAAAAACGTGCGGTTTTCGTATCCGGAAATTAACAGAAAACGATTACAATTTTCATTCATTTTCATATCCGGAAAACGTTCGAAAGTGATGATGTTATTTGAAAGCAATAATTGTATTTTATTCGTCCAAGCTGAACATTTGAAAGCATGTATACGTAGTCAGCAGTGGCTGAGAAGTGCCAGTATTTGTTAGCTTTCTGAAGTGTCGGGTTCGAATGACGTCAGGCGCTTCTTTGTTTTTTTTCGGACCATGAAAAAACATTTGTGAAGGGCAGAAGGAAAGCATAATAATAATAATAGATTACACATATGTTAGTGTTTGGCCGAGCTTCTCCTCCGATTTGTAGTGTGCGCCTTGATGTTGTCACACAAAGCGGAGGGACCTACAGTTTTACGCCGACTCCGAACGGCGATTGTATTTTTATGAGAAGCTGTTTTTCATGGCAGAAATACACTCGGAGGTTTGCCATTGCCTGCCGAGGGACGACCGCTGTTAAGAAAAAACCTTTTTTCTATATTTTTTGCGATGTTGCTTTGACCAAGGTTTGAACCCAGGCGTTGCGGAGTGGAAGCGCGCACTGCTTACCACTACACCACAGTGGCCGCCCGAAGGAAAGCATATTGAACGAAAATAAAAGAAAATTGTCAAAAAACAGCCAATTACGTAGCAATTTTCGTATCGTCAAAACTATCCAAAAACGAAATCGGTAAACGGACAAAAATCCGCATTTCATCCACTTTTTTCCTTTTTCGGATGCATTTTCAGATTTTTGCTGGCTGGGTTATTATCTGCCATTTTATTTACAAGACAAAATTCATGGGGATCATAATTTTTTGGACGGTGGGGATCGATATTTATGTAAGCAATTAAATAAACAAAACGCTTTTTTGGGAGCGCGAGCGTAGCTCCGAGCGAAATAAAATGCCGGAGCGGAGCTAGAGCGGAGCGATGAAAAAGAAACATTGCTCCGAAGTTCTGGTTGTAACATCTTTCTCTAGTAAGCTTTCTCCTTCTCTGGAGACAGAGTCGTCGAAGAACAGCTATTTCCTCCGTTAACCAGTATACAGCTCTTTTCTTGAATGGTTTGGCTTTTGGCATGGATGCGTTGCAGGCTTTGACAATCGTTGTCATAGTTTTTTGGCATCAATGTTATGGTCTGATAGGATAGTTTTGCAGATGTTGCAGATTAACCTTTGTGAGTTTAACTTGGAAGTCATCCACTTCCTAGTACTTTTATTTCCTACGGAGCCTGGCCAATTTGCTTTCTCTATGTCGAAACGTATGTATTTGTGGTCGCTGGTGGTAAATTCTTCGAGTTATTAATCTTTCGGAGACCAGAGTAATGTCCGGGATGGCCCCACGCAGCCTTTTCTTCTAAATGTGGGAGTATTTCCCCTGTTTGCTAGAACCAGTCCCTGCCGGGCTGCCATATTTAGGATTCGTGTTCCCCTGGAACTTGTTGATGTCGTTCCCCATTCTACCACTGTCGTGTTAAAGTCGCCTGCTATTACAATGTTTCCGCCAATCTGTAGGGCTTTATCTTTCAGAGGTCTAATTTTCTTTGAAAAATTTCAATCTGGTCATTTGGTGTTAGATATCAACTCATGAGTGTGTTGGTTATTTTTTATCCACACAAAGCATTAAAACCAGGTACCGTAAATAGAAGTTATTTTTTTCCAACGGTTAAACTAGGCCAGATATTTTTTATTTTTTTAAACAGAAATAACGATCGAAGGCTACCAAGGGTTGTTCTATGCTAATTAAAAAACATTTTTTATTTAAATATTTTTCAATAGCTGGCTTTTTGCTGGCTTTCCTCGTTTAAATATTTCAAATATTTCAGTTTTGAAGCTATTTTAGTCCTGTTTCAGTTGATACCAAACTTGTTTCATTTGGATAAGCGGTGTGTTTATTATTAGGAAAGGACTTTTATTTTCGACTTAAAAATATCTGGCCAAGTTTAGCTGTTGAAAAAAGGTAACTTTTATTTACGGTCCCTGATAAAAACACTGGTTGCTTATGTTTGGTAAGCACAGAGCTGCTGTGCGGGTCCTGTCCTCGAGCCAGGTTCTATCGTTTCGCTGTTTGTATTGTTCGCTTGTAAGCACCACATCTATAATTTTTTCCACCGCGATGTGACTCAATATTTCATCTGCAGTTATACTTCGGGGCATGTTGGCTTGCAAAATTCCTGTCATTTGGCACAGTTTTTTCTGTATGGCCAACTGCTTTTTCTTCGGCTTTTAGAAAAAGGCAGCACCTCGGTTTATTTCGGCATTCTTTTATCCTATTGTTTGCTTCACCGCAGCGAATACATAAGCTTTTCTGTCTTCGCCATTACAGTTGTACTGCATATGGCCGAATCGAAGCATCTGAAGCATCGTTTTATGCCTTTAGCCGCGCGGATGCGTGTTTTAATCCACCCTGCCTTAACTGATCCTGCTTTTAGGAGGGTCGCAGCGTCTTCTGCTGATAATTTGACAAATGTGCGCATTTGTTCTCGGCTATTTGGCGTCGTAAGGGTAACGCTCATAGTTCCGGCGTCTGGAGAAATTTTCTTTAGTACTCCTTGGACGTCTTGGGTTGTAAACGCGTCTAAGCCTCGCAACTTCTCTTTGAGTCCTTCCTCCTCTGCTGAGTCGCAAAACTGGTCTCTGACTTTGGCACCTTTTTCTAGCTGAAGTAGGATAGCGCCCGTCTTTGTTTTCCGGATTTTACGCGCGCCTCCTTCATCGTCCGGGTTCACTTTGCTACGTTTTTGGCACGTCAGCGTTGCTGTATCCTTCTGCTTTTGTCATTATCTCTTGTTGGTCCGCGATTTTGAACCGATAGGTTATCTGGTCGATTCTTTTTAGGCTTAACGTCCTTCCTTTTGGATACCCTTCCTTAGCTCGTTTGCAATTTTCTGCGTCAGCTGGACTTGAAGCTGCCATTTCGTGGACCGGTACAGTTGGCGTATCGACAATCTTCAGATACATAATTTGCCGTATTTCCTGTTCTGCTCTTTGCCAGTTCCTTCGGCTTGCAGATATTATGTCAAAGAGATCGTCCATTTCAGAGATCCCATTTTTATACCAATTTGTCTGACTAGCCAAGGCCGTCTTCATTGGTTGAAGGCACTTAAGACATTTGTACAAAGCTTTTTCTTCTTCCAAACGCATTTTCCTGATAAAATCTTGGCGCGGTAAACCTGATTTCCTCGTGGTAGACTTCTGTATTGTATCACAGTTTACATTTGCGCTCATGGTGGGTGTTTCGGTCCGCGCTGGTGTGTAATTGGAGTCGAGTTGACAGCAGGTCCTGAAGCTATAATTTTTGAAATGCTAGGTCCAACCTGCTCTTTTTCAGCTGGGAGAGCTAGTGTGCCCTCGGAGTCGCACCTAGCATTGTTGCAGACGCTGACCAGTGCACCGAAGTGAAAAATAAAGCGTAACATTTGCAGCCGTACCTACTGATGTACAGACGCATGTGCTGCCGGGCACTTAAACCCCATATACCAGTTTGGCCCCACCAGTATTTATCTGCTGTTGGGAAATCTCTCGTCGCGTGTTGCCTTCCTCTCTTGGGTAAGTGTTCTCTCGGTGCAAACCCCGATGGGGCTGGGGACGATTACTTAAGAGCGGCATCGACTCGCCTTGACGCTTAAGTTTGCAGGGCTTTTGTGGCCCTTTATGCCACGCCCTCCACTCTTACCGCTCTTAGTCAGGGGCTGCTTATTGGTTATTTGCAGCTAGCCTAAATTTAGGCCGTCCACAGCCCGCCAGCTGTGGCTCCAGATGGCCTGAGCTCAGCCGTAGAGCTATAGAGCTGGAAAGATAAATGTTAATAATAAATTAAATGTCTTCATATGCATTGCCACAACTTGTAATAAGTATTATGTATGTTATATCGTCCCATTAATTGAACTCCTCGTTCAGCAGTAACATTCACGACATGTAAACTTGTCAGAAACAGCACCATCGTGGTATAAAATAGACCTAGAAAAAACGGCATAATTTTTTATTAAGTATGTATTAGATTTTCAGGTACCACAGAAAAAAGAAATATCGCACGTTTAATAATAAAGAGAAGGTAACCCAAAATTTACGTTTGTGGAGATTTCATTATGCTTATAATAAGCTTGATAAGTAGAATATGTTCAGTTTAATAGATAACCATACTTCCCAAATATGGCGAATATATGTGTTTTTCCATCTGTCTTTTTGTATACCAACTGTATGAATTGATAAAACTTTGAGTTTTCCCACAAAATTGAAATTTTGAAATACTTCTTTATATTATTAAATGCGATATATCGCCTAAAAATGAAACACCCTAATATACATACATACATATATACATACATATGTATGCATATGTTACATATTCAGATCATTTCTTCATCTCGTGTATGCCGTGATTTGAACGACGTGAAGGCAGACGAATTAATGTTAGCCGGGAACCCGGTAACGAAATCTAGCAACTATCCTGAGTGCATGCGACCTGTTCTTAAAAATTTCAAGGCCATTGTAAGGAAATATAATTAAATTTACTGTAGTAATTTCTTTAACTGTTTACTTTTTTATTGAAGGATGGAATACCTGCTGAGAATTTATCAAAAGACTATACACCGATGGACTACGAAGTTGACATTGACAAAGATGGCTACCGCGTTGATTTTAGTAATAAAGAAGATATGATAAAGTTTCTACATAGTAGTGATTGGCATGCTATCATGGTAATGAGCGTTTGGTAAATTATAAATAACACTCACCCCCATGCTGAAATCCAAATTTTCGTAGTTACGAATTCAGAGCTCCGCTCCGCAATATATAAAAATGGTATGCAGTAATTCGGCCGTAACTATTTACCGCGTTGCCAACCAAAAACAAGAAATTCGAATTTCTCATAGAGCTATTTTGACAGAACTAAAAAATTTTATGATTGCAGGTGAAGAGTGAAATCTGAAACCAGTGATTATTAGCCATTTGTAAAGCGTTCCCATGACAGTCGAGTCTACGTAACCGGAACGACCCAGATTTATATCTGGCCAAGAACTGTCACTCTAGCAACACTCCCCAAAAAACTCTTTGACAAAACTTCGAAATTACGATACGACAACGCGGATTTGAGCATACCTATTATACGATTCTTAGCGAAGTCAAATCTACAGTTTCAGCATGGGGGTTATAAAACCACACAAAATGTACTTAATATACTTTTTCGTGGTTCCTACCATGATAAAAACATTACAAGGTAAAATCATTGAGAGGCAGTCTGACGTTTGCCAACAATATAATTTTAAAATTCGAGCTCAGGCTCACACACACATTCTCATTTTTAATCTCAAACAACAACAATTGTGAACAATTTCATTTTTTTTTTTCAATTTTATATGATTTTAAAATGTTTGCAAACGTCAGAAAAAAATCATGGCCGACGAATTGAGAGAATGGTTTTACCTTCTAATGTTTTTATCATGGTTCCTACGTTATTTACGTATATCTCGTAATGTTAACAAAAGGTTAATACTCAAAATTTTCAAATGACCTGCAAAATCTGAACTTTTAACCAAAAACCCCTTTTTCATAAGTTGAAACATTCCATATTAAATCGATGGTGGTAGCTGATCTGATTATTTTGGCTCAAAATGTATTTGCATGTGAATCTTTAAAAAAGGTGATTGAAAACCAGACTTTGTAACGTTTGCTTAACCCAGGAACATAAACGCTATTATGGGAACATAAACGCTGAGAAGGATGTTTTGTTGCTTCTGGAATGAAACAAGTTTACAAATAATGAAAGTCGCACTAAGTTAAATTTTTTTTATTAAATTTTTTTATTTAAATTTGTATTTATATTTCACATCGCCTACTATAATTTTTATAAAAGTAGATTATTCTTTTGACATTTTAAATACCAGAAGCAACCGCTTTAACGTCGTCCGCTGTAATTCTGGGTAGAGCTTTACTGCCATACCTAAACAAAAGCGTCAGCGTTGTCTGGATGTCAAAAAACTCTCATGCCTCTACACTTTGTATGAACCATACCAAAACAACGCGGAGGCAACGTTGAGCGGTTGGAAAAGGCGATTTTGACAGGGCGTTTGGTATTAAAGTTGGCTGCAGAAAACGGCGAAACTGTCATTTTCGTATTACACACAAAACAAACCTATGCTTATTGTTGGTGTTATTTCTGCATTTGACGTAGCGTTAACGCTTTTGTTTAGGTATGGCAGTAAAGCTCTACCCAGAATTACAGCGGACGACGTTAAAGCGGTCGGCGGCAAGTGAACAGCTGTACAGTTGCCGCATGAAATCCGTCAGAGTAAACACACTTGCGGCGCACGACGGCTTCCGTCAGTTGTCGTTTTGATTTGTGCGGTATTCTTTGGCAACCCTACAACTTTTAGAAGACAAAGAATAGGCAATAGAGGTTGAGAGCGGAGACGTGAGTGTAGCGACATGTGTAGAAAAGATTTGATTGTTAGAAGTTAGAGGTTAATAAAAAGAGACTTTTGGAAGTTTCATGTAGTAGTCGGAGCTTACCTGGGGAGAAATTGGTGTTAGGAATCGTTTTGGAGGGGTCCATGCGGTGGTGATAGAAGCCAAGAAAAACGAGTTGAAACTCAAATACAGCAGACTATTTAGTAAAGCTTTAGGAGCACACCATGGGCCACCCATATTACTTGATCTGATGCCGGGATCAGAACCTATTTTTCGATCAGATCTTGCCCCATTGCGTTGATACCAGCTTGCGAAAAAGAAATCGAGAAGTGGATAGCACAGGAAATAATAGAGCTCCTTTTCGCGATGGGCTACGCCGATTGTCCCCGTACTCAAAACGAGTGGCGATATAAGAATCTGCGGCGATTACCGTAATACGGTCAATGCGGTGATAAAACCAAATGCTTATCCCTTACCACTTTTTTCGAGAGTATAAGCGGCCACCGCCGGAGAGGAATTGTTTACAAAACTAGACTTAGAGCAAACCTACCAACAGTTAAATGTAGCCGAGATCTCGGCGGAGAACATTGAACACCCACAAGGGTTTATACAAGGTGAAGCGGTTGCCGTTTGGAGTGTCAGCGGCTCCGGGACTTTTCCAGAAAATTATGGAGATGACATTATTATTGCACGTAAAAAAAGAATAGAGCACTCTGAAAACTTAGAGGCAGTACTGGATCGAATCGAAGAAGCAAATTAACAGTAAACAAGGACAAATGTCTTTTTGGGCAAACGCAAGTAGATTTTCCGGGATACCATATTAGCAAGCAGGGTGTCTCACCAAGAAGAGATAAAGTCAAAGCTATATTATTTAATTTCTATAACACACTATTACTTGACGAGAAGGCCCGGCGGAAGTGGACAAAAGGACACCACAAGGCTTTTGATAATTTGAAAGCAATGTTAAACTCGGATAGCCTGCTAATACGTTACTATCCAAAAAAGCTGTTAGTGTTGGCCTGTGATGCATCACCATATGGAGTAGGTGCAGTGTTAGCTTGCCGTAACAAAGAAGAGCGGCTCATTGCATTCGCATAAAGGACATTGTCGGCAATGCCATCATAAGGCACCTACTCTTATGGTACACCAGAAGTGGCTTTAATCGTGTTATTTATGCGGACGAATTGGGTTCTATCAGCAAGATAAGATGCAAGCCACTTAAGCGTGCTAGCATGAAGTCCAATTGAATCCAGCTTTCCTAGTAGTGTTTTAGGACTCACCTTATCAAAGGCTTTCGAAAAGTCGGTGAAAATGACATCGCATTGTTGACCTATTTCGAATTGTTTTAAAATAAAATTCGAAAATAAGGACAAGTTTGAAGAAGTGGACCTACCCTTAATGAATCCGTGCTGATAAGGCGATATGAGCCCAGAAATCTGGAAGACATCCTATCAGGGACAGTAATGTAGCTGCTTATTTGTACCCTGCGAGGCGGCGTGCAGGCACGCTTGCATCCTAAGCTAGCTCGTCGGTTGGGGGGGTGTCATTTCCGCCTGTCAAGGTAATCGCTACATAAACAAAAAGTTAATCGTGCCTTAGGGTATGCTGGAGTATTAGAGAAAGTCACCATACATAACAAAGAAAAAGGAAGATGTGAAAGAAAAAGCACTATAGAGGAATGGTCCAGTCCCGTCCTGTCAGGTGGAGTCATCCCACCCTTCTTCAACGTGACCTCCACGCGAAGCCTTGGGCGTTGTCGTGACTCCTCACGGAACGGTAGTGAAATTAATGTGGCTACATATGTACATACAAATGTATATGCACTAATATACATACATATATACCTATGTCAGCTCAAATTGTAGCAATTCAAAAATTGAATGAAGTGAAAATCGGCTGAGTGAACAAAAATAAAAAAACGGATTTTGTATGGCCAATAGTGGCAGAAAAATAAACAGTGTACGGAATTCAAATTAATCTATAAATCACGAGAATTGCCCTACAAAACAAATACACGGGATATGTCTAAGCTAAGCAACAATAAGAAAAAATAGGTATGTAAATATGTAAAAATTTACTAACTAAACGGAATCTAAAAGTAAGGAATGTGGCTGAAGCAAATGACAAAAAACCAAAAAAAAATCAAACGAACTCTAAAGGCTAATTTAAGAGAGGCTAGGTATACTGGTATAGGCAATTTAAACATAAGCAAAGAACTAAAACAATGCAAAAGAGTAGCCGTGTTAACGGCGCTGCTGCTGATCAGCGGCGAAGGCGTAGCGCCCACCACTTATGCTCCCGCGGCGTTGCTCCTGTTGGCGTTGCTCCTGTTGGCGTTGCTCCTCTTTGCGCTGTTACTGCTAAAACTGTTGTTGTTGTTGTTGTTGTTGTTGTACTAGCTGCTACTAAGCTCCGTTCGGGCGGTTCATCCATCAACGTTGTCGTCTATTTCAGCTAGGGGGAGGCCCAGGAAGTGTGCAACTTCCAGAGGGGCTGTCCATAGGGACAGGGGCGTTAGCTGAGTGGGATTCTCAGGGCATGTGAAGAGGTGCCGGGAGTCATGTGGCGACTCTCCACATGCCGGGCATTGGTTGGGCACATCCTCGTTGATTCTGCTCAGTTAGCTGTTGAGCCTGCTGCAATAGCCAGAGCGAAGTTGGGCTATTGTAGAGCGGGTCTCCCGAGGCAGACAAGGTTCTGTCCCGTCCACGTCCGGCGGTTGTGTGCCTAGAACGGCATTCACAGGGCGGGAGTCTACATAACTTGAGACTGATTCCCTGTGAACGTCTGTGGCTCCCTGCGAGGGACTGCTTGCAGAGCATTATGTTATGCTCCTTTACAGGGAGCATCTGGGCCTTGTCATGGAGGTGGTCTTGAGGCGTCATCAGGAGGCATCCTGTAGCAGTTCGTAATGCCGTGTTTTGGCAGGTCTGCAGCTTCATCCACTGCGCCCTGCTAGTCCCCGGCGACCATACGGGCGGGCCAATTGCCTTGTATGTTGCCAACAACGTTTCTTTATCTTTGCCCCAAGTGCTGCCGGCCAGCGACTTGAGGACATTGTTGCGGCTCTGTACTTTGTTAACAATTGCAGTTGTATGCGCCGAGAAGGAGAGCAGACTGTCGAAGGTAACTCCGAGGATTTTCGGGTTATTCACCGTCGGTATTGTTACGCCATCGACGTGAATACCCAGTGGCAGTCTGACCTCCTTCGTCCAGGTAGTGAAAAGGGTTGCCGAGGATTTCGCAGGGGATAGGGCAAGGCTCTTTGCAGTGAAGAAGCGAGAAAGTTCGG